GCACAGTTAGACTGCTCACTTCCCAAGGGTGAGTGGTGAGGTAAGACACAAAGAGGATAGCAGTGCTACCATGGAGACGCTTCTTCACACTGGCTGGGAGATATAGGAGAAGGACTTGACCAGAGTGGTTCCATGAACACATCTGGATGTTAGACCACCGGAGGTGGTAAAGGGTGAATGCAGAAGACAGGAATGAAACTGAGTGCACCACACAAGGTCTACACTACTAGCAGGTGAAAGGCAATGGAGTGGCTGGCTACAGGAAGGACAGTATCAAGGCAGATCCCAAGTTCCATTCCTGAACACGAACTAGGTTACTGGTCATCATTAATGGAGATCCAGGTTACAGAGCACAGGTCCCAGTACCAACACCTCCAGGCTCACTTACCTGGGAATTTCTGTTCTTCTAACACTTCATTCTTCCACAGTAGTTTAGCAGAGGGTGGGAAGTCATGGCTGTTCCAGGCCCTGCCAAACACAGGTGTTGTTACTGCACCTCCCAAACCCAGATCCAGACAAAAAGAAGCACAGGCTAGACATTACAGAGCAGCTCTGGCTTGGCATCAGTGGCTCGTGCCTGTAACCCTAGCTACTCAGGGGGCTGAGATCTGAGGATCACAGTTCAAAGCCAGCCCAAGCAAGAAAGTCTGTGAGACTCTCATCTCCAATTAACCACCAACGAAAGCTTGAAGGGGAGCTGTCTCAAGTAGTAGAGTGCTAGCCTTGAGCACAAACGCTCAGGAACAGCATCCAGGCCCTGAGTTCAAGCCCCAGGACCCACACTCACACACAAAAGCTGTTCTGCATACATCTTCAAACTCCTTTCCTGATAAAGGGCTTCCCTTCTTCCTCCCAGGGTCAGTTTTCCAGCTAAGGAGCCCTCCCGCAGGATTTCTAATCACTCACAGCACATTAGAGTTAGAATTAACAGGTCAGAGATGCAGAAGGTGATTCTTAAGCTCTGGACACTGTCAAACATTACAGAGTAGCTCTAGCTGGGCATCAGTGGCTCATGCCTGTAACCCTGCTACTCAGGATGCTGAGATCTGAGGATCACGGTTCAAAGCCAGCCCAAACAAAAGTCTGTGAGTCTCTCATTTCCAATTAAAGGATAAAGAGAAGAGTGAGGGTTTCTTATCAATACAGAGACTTACATGCTGCCTTGGTAAGTTCTTTCTAAGAAGACCTCCTGCAAAGCCAAGCAACCAGTTAGAAGCATGCCAGAATATTCATCATTGCATAACCACTCAACATATACTGTGGCAGAAAGGATAACATCTGCCCCCCCCCCACTCCTAGCAAGCAATCTGCATTCTAATCCTCAGGATATAAGAATATATTAAGGTTTTGTGGCCAGGGAGAATTAAGGTTGCTGACAAAATCAAAGTAACTACTCAGGTTGCTGACCTTACAGCAGAGAGATTCTCCCCATTGGCCCAATGTAATCGCAGGGGTCCTGGCAAGTAGAAGGCAGAAAGGCAGAAGGACAGATGTAAAGACAGAAGCAAGATTAAAGTGATGACTGATGAGGACTCCTCCACTGCTGCAACCTTTGAAGACAGAAAAGGAGAAACCAGCTAAGGAATGTGAACAGCCTTTAGAAGCTGGAAAAGGCAAGGAATGGCATTCTCTCTAGAGCCACCAGAAGGAACACAGCCCTGCTGACAACTTGATTTTAGTCCCGTAGCAAACAGAAACATAAGTCCCACAACTCCTACCAACTTCTGTAACCATGGCTGGCCTGTGAAGAACAGGCATGGGGAGGTAGACAGATGCAGCTGTCAATCCAGCTGTGCAAGTTTTATCTGTAAGATGGGACTCAAAGCACCTATGCCATAGATTACAAGAATAAAGTGAGATGCTGCTCTTAAGGCACCTGCTGCAGATTAAGAACCCAATAAATGTTACTCACTGTGCTTATTGTTATGGCTTTCATTTGCACCTTGCTACAACTCTTATGGAGCACTGGCTTCCTTTCCTTCATCTTTGTGGTCTTAGAGATCAAATCCAGGGAGAAGCACATGCTCTACCACTGAGCTGTACCGCTCCCCGCCCAACCCCTGCTGAACCTCGAGCCTATCTTCCCCTCATATAAACATGGCAAACCCAAGCTCAAGGATATATGATTTGCTGCAAATTATAAAAGATACAGAACTCAGCCCTATGAGTCCACAACCTTCGTTCTATTCCTACAGATAAGAAGGTTATCCATATCGTTCTAAAGCAGTATTTTTCCAGTGCTGCAGGAGAAATATGCATATATTAAAACATTAAATATTAAAATAAAACTGAAACTTTTCTCGAAGTTGTTCCCAGCTGTAGGAGGAAACAACTGTTTTAGCTGTAAATAAGTCTAAAAAAACCAAAAGTGGTTAAGATTATTAAAAGACTTAGCAATGGATGAATAAACCCCAGTGGTTTATGGAGAAAATCTGGGATATAGACCGTTAATCACAGTTTCTTGGTTATCTTTGAAAGTGTATAGGGATTTTGGAGACAGGGCAGACACCAAGATATCCCAAACAAAAGAGCAGCCCACATTCTGAATGATACTTTTCTTAGGACTTGGGTTGTGGCTCAAGTGTTAGAGCACCTTCCTCCCAAGCAGAAAGCCCTGAATATAAATCCCAGAAATAATCCTCCCACAAAAGAGAGAGATTTTTTTTCAAAAGCTTATTTTTTTCCAAAGTCACTACCTCCCTTCTACTCTATTACTTGGTCTGGATAACTGTCTTATTTGCAGTTTAAGAGATGTAAATATATATTTATTTAATGCACACATACAAACATAGTGGATTTTTTCAAAGTAAAACAAATAGCATCCAGTTATAAAAAAGAAAAGAAAAGTAGCAACCTTCATATTTTTGGTCATGTAAAATGGTGTGACCACTTTGGAAGAGTTTAGCAGTTTCTCAGAATGTTAACCAGTGAATTACCCTGTGATCCTGCAATTCCACTTTGGGTACCTGCTACTCAAGAAATTCAAACATAGCTCCACGTACACCTATTCACAAATATTCACAACAGCATTGTTTATAATATCCAAAGAGTGGACACAATCAAAAGGTTTATCAGCAATGGACACAAAATGTGGTATATCCTACCAGGGAATATTACTGGGAAATATAAAAGGAATAAAGTGTCAATCAATGCTACAATAGGGACGAATTTCAAAACAGAGACTAAAAGGGGGGAGGGGGGAGATAGAATCAGAAGGCTGTATATTATTTTAATTACACTACATGAAACTTCCAGAACAGACAAAAGGGTAGAAACAAAGTAGATTAGTAGCTCTTTAAGATTAGAGCAGCAGGAAGGCAATGAGGAGTTAACTGCTAATGATCACTTTTCTTTTGGAGGTGCAGATATTCTAAAATTAGTTCGTGGTGATAATCGCAAACATAATGAATATGCTAAAATTTTATTTGGCGTGAATTTTATGGTGTGTAAATTAGATTTTCATAAAACTCTTTTGTTTTCTTCTTTAGTAAGTCAACCAGTATTTTCAAGGATGGTCAGCTTGAGTTCCTCACTGACACTGGTCCAGGAAAGTTCTGTTTCCATGGCTTGTACTGGAGGATTTAGAACGAGCTCAAGCTCGTGTAAGCCCAGCAGTTTTTGTTTGTTTGAACTGAAAGGACTCCAGGTATAGAAATTAAGTTTAAGCTTAGTTTTTAAGCTAAAAAGCAACCAGCATCAATGGGGCGGGAGGGGTGGAGAGGTGCTAACACCCCAAACTTTTTTTTTTTTTGCTGAGCTGCAATTACCCTCCAAGTGTCCTGATTCCCACTCCAGTTCCTCCCAGACGCAAGCAGGCCTCACGCCCCGGCTACAGCAGCGCACCCTCCCTCACACTACCCTGTGGAATGGGGACAATTCCCACAATTGCCTCCAACCTGGGCCCGTGCAGCCACCCCTCGCTGTGCAGACCCGGGCCTGGAAACTTGTGGGGCATCCATCCTCTTGCAAGCTGGGTAAATGCAGGACTGGACGACGGCTCCTCTGCTCCCCGCCTTCTTCGCCTTCGCACCTTCTCCCTCCACGCTCCGCCTCCGCGCGATCGCGGCGGTGGGGGGAGGCTCTCCGTCAGCAGCCAATCCGCGGCCGGCCACGGTTTGGGAGGCCAGGTCTCGCGGTGCCGGAGGGAAAGTGCGGGAACGAGCGGGCCGGGATTTTCCCTTCCCCGCCCCGTTCCCCGCCACTCACTTTTAGTAAACAAACCTCTCCCACCCCGCGCACCCAGCGCCCAGCCGTCGGCTGCCTGGGAGCTGTGTGGATCGAAGGCGGGGGGGGGGGGGGTGCGCACCTGGTCCTGCGGGAGGCCCAGGCTCCCTGGTCCGGTTCTGCGCTCGCACGTGGCGCGCTCCCGGGCGAGTTCGAAGGCAGCGCGGAGCGGGGACCGGCTCGGTGCCGGCAGAGGGGCTGTCTGCAGCCTCCGAAAGCCCGGTGCGCGCGGGGACGCGGCCGATCGCCGGCACGCGTGGCCGCCGCCAGCTTCACCCCAGCACACCCCGCCCCCTCACACCCACGCCCACCGCCCTTCCCGAGGCCCCGGGATCTGGGCGGGAGGTGCGGGGCTGGGACGCGCCCGCTGCGGAGGGGAGGGGCGCAGGGCGGTGGGCGGCTCGCCCGCCGTCTGCCGGCCGTCTACCGTCCGTCGCGGCGCCGGGGACGGTCCTGACGCGGAGGTCCTCTCTGCTCCCTGGAAGTGTGGGCAGGGCTGCCGGGGGTTTCCGTGGGCTCGGCCTCTCCCATCCCGGGAGGAAACAGCGGGGAAGCCCCCCGGTGCCTCCGGAGAGAGCCGCGGTGTCCCCCCCCCCCGCCCCCGAGCTGTGCCTGCGCTGAAGACGAGGCCGGGCGGGGCCCGCGCGCGCGTCGTGCCTGTCGCCGTCCGCGTCCGGAGCGGCGGCCCGCGCCCGCCAACTGGGCGCCCCAGGTCCCTCCCGAGTCCCCGGGCTGCAGGGGCTCCACCCTGCGGGGCGTGAGCGACGGCCGGCCCGGGGCTTCGCCGCGGCCTCCAGCGCCCTAGCCCCGGGGAATGCAGCGGCCCCCGACCCCTGCCGCCGCCTCTCCGTGTCTGGGCTGGGCCTCCTCGCTCGCCTGCTCGGCGACCTCGACGCTCCTGGGTCGCCTCGGCCCGGCCCCCGTCATGGCAGCCAAGTGGTTCAAGGAGTTCCCCCTGAACCTGAAGACCGTGTCCGAGCGGGCCAAGCCCGGGGCCGCGGGCGGCGGCAAACCGCGAAAGAACTCGGAGGCAGGGGGCGCGGGGCCCACCCTGGGAAAGAGTCGCAAGAACTCGGCGGCCGAACTGGGGGGCGGCAAGGCCACCAGCGGCCCCCCTAAGGACAGCCGGCTGTCCCGGGACAGCCTGCAGGGTCTGATTCAAGCCGCGGCGGGCAAGGGTCGCAAGAACTCCCGGGCTACCGAGGATGAGCCCCATCGGGGTGCGGCCAAGAGCTCGGGCTGCAGCACCTACATCAACAGGCTCATCAAGGTGGACACACAGGAGAAGAATGGGAAGAACAACTACCCTAACAGCAGCAGCAGCAGCAGCAGCAGTAGCAGCAGCAGCTCCTCATCTTCCGCGTCGTCTTCTCCTTCCTCCCTGGGCCCTGAGCTGGACAAGAGCAAGATTCTTAAGCAGCAAGATGCGGTAAGAATATGGCTTTCCTTGGACCAACTGTCAGTACAGGGGACGTGAGCCTGCTGAACTCTAGGCTGCTTTATATCTAAGAGAAGATGAACCCTAGTTACTAAGGTCCTCTTCCATCTACCATTCATCATCTGCTTCTTAAATGATCACTTATGCCAGGCTCCGATGACCCAATGCTTCTCATCCTAGCTACTCAAGAAGCTGAGATCAGAGGATCGCGGTTCGAAGCAGCCAGGCAGGAAGAACCCAAGAGAGTCTGTCTTATCTCCAATTGGCCATCAAAAACCTGGAAATGGAGATGTGACCCCAGAGATAGAGTACTAGCCTTGAGCAAAAGGGCTAAGGGACAGCACCCAGGCCCTCAGGTTCAGCACAGACAGGAAAAATAGAATCACTTAGTTTTCTTGAAAAATTCTCTGGGATTGGAGAACATTTCACGAATGTACAATTTAAATGTATTTAGTTTTGTTAGCAGTTCACAAGCATAATCAAATAAGAGATCGCTTTTGTTCTATTTGACCCCCTTATAAGTGTGGTTTATTTTAATTCTGATATCCAGAAAATCAGCAAAGTTATACTTGTGTGTGGCTTTTAACTTTCTTCAACACAAGTAGTAGTGAACTGGAAAATGTGTGGATTTCACAGTGTGAAAATGGGTTGACCACCTGTTTCTCTGCTGGTGTGAAGTACCAGCCTTCCTTACAATTCCACCCTAGTAAAGGGCCTCTTGAAAGCTGGTGGCTCATGCCTGCAATCCTAACTATTGAGATCTGAGGATCTCTGGTGGAAGCCAGCTAAGGCAAAAAAAAAAAAAAAAAAAATCCTTAAGGCTCTTTTATCTCTAATTAATCACAGAAGAAGAAAAAAGGAGAGGGTTTCTCAGAGTTTGAGTTTCAACAATTCTGCAAGATGACAGCCCTTCCATTCATTCTGTGGACATTTGTTGTATATAACCATATAAGATAAGAGGCATGGAGCACGGAGGGATGGGGGGGGGTGTAGACACAGGCTAAGACAAGGAAATGCCTTAAGGAAATTACAGATCAGGAGAGAAGAAGGTGTTTCCTGCTTCTTAGTCACTGGAGGTTTTTTGGGTGTTGTCCAATGTGGGAATGTAAGAAAAAGAATGTGGACTTAGGGGGGCTCTCCATTCTGTGGAGATGAGTTAGCTTGATGTGAAAGAGAAGGAAGAGTTCAAACTGCGGTTCAGACTTGGTCAGTGTAGGTAATCACCTCCTGTCATGGCGATTTTAATTTTCTCTTGCCAGGCTTCAGACTCGCTGCCTATTTGGTCAGGAGCCTTTAACATGTATCATATGATATGTATTGGTATGTATTCATTCCACTTGTGTCCACAATATTTAGAGGATGCCTACCCTATGCCGGCTCTGAGCAGAGAGCCGTGGGAAGACAGGATGGACATGGACCCAGTTCATACATTACTCAGTGGTACACTTGACAGTTAAATCATCAAGGACTGAGTATCATGCCCTGTATTCGTTGCAGGGCCATGCAACTGCAGTATACGTGGTGCCAGTGAAGGAGAAGGGATGGCCTGAGTTGAGTAATCAGTCCTCTGCAGTGGTGGCCTGGTTATTTTCATAAGTGTCACTTTTTGGGTGTCTGAGGTTTCTTAAGCCATTTCCTCCAAGGTAAAGGACTCTCACCAATTCTGTCCAAATTCTTCCCAGCAACCATAGTACTTTTCCAGGAGTCTTTTGAGAAGGTTCTGTAAGAGACTATGGAACGTCGCTCTGAAAGACCTAAGAAAGGTTCTTTATCTTTGATGTTGTCACCTGCTCACCAAGAGCAACTATTGCATACACAGCACTTTTGGGGCACTTTCCTCTGTTTGGGGGAAGATAGCTTTCCTCAGCTATAAATCTCATCAAAACTATCTGATTGGCAGCCTAGAGAGAATAGGTTTACCCATGAATTGCTGAACCTAAAACTCCTATATTATTCAGTATTGACCTATTTCATTTTATGAAGGCATTCTCTTTGAAGTTGTTATGAATTCCTTGAGGAGAGGAAGCAGGTCTTCAGACCACTTTGACTCCCTCATACCAATTATCCAGTGTTAAAAGGCGATTGACTAATTCACTGTGACTGTATTGCTCAGCTAATTACAGCTTAAAATGCCCAGAGCAATAGCTAGACAAGTTTATCTTTTTATGCACTAAAGCCGCAGACACCTTCTGTTGCCCTCTACCCTCCCCCAACCACAAATGCTTTGTTGCATGTGGAAAGAAAAGTGCAAGTCAATTATACTACCCCCCCCCAAAAAAAGCTATTTGTCCAACTGAAATACATGATCAAGTGCAAATGCTCTCTGGAACTGATGATTTTGACTCCAGATTTGCAGATTTCAGTAACCACTTTGATACCATTGCATTTTTGGTATATAGGAATCCTTAGCAACTGTCCCCTCATTCTCCAACAGGTCATCATTTTAGAAGACTATGCTGACCCTTACGATGCCAAACGAACAAAGGGTCAAAGGGATGCAGAGAGAGTAGGTGAGAACGATGGCTACATGGAACCCTATGATGCACAGCAGATGATAACAGGTTTGTAACTGGGTTCTGATTAATAGCAGTTTATCTGTCCGTCTAACTTTCTCTGTTAGAGAACTATAAAATAGCGATCAGAACATATTCTGAAAGAAATAGAGCAATTTAAAGTCTCACTGTCTTAACTTTTATAATTTAGTATCACTCAGAATTGACAAGCTTTTTTAAAATAGTTTACTTAGAATTTGCAGAGTTGGTTTGGGGTTGTTTTTTTTAAGTTTTCTCATTCTGCGTAAGATGACACTTGTGAGTTTGCACATGTGGTCAGAATATGGTCTTTGGAGTTGTGCTGTTTTGTTTTTCATCCCTGTACTACGGTTTGAACTCAAGGCTTTGTACTTACTAGGCAGGCAGACCCCCACTGAGCCATACCTCCAGTCCTAGTCTTGTTTTAGGATTGTTTCTATCTATTTATTTGCCATATTCAAAAGCTCTGGCATCCATAATGGGAATAAAGAACTAGTATCATGAGACAAATACATATGTAAAGAATGTTTAGCTGAAAGAGATTTTAAGTTGTAGAAAGTAGCAAAGGTGAGAGGATTCTCTTTACAGACTTTTATCAAGTTCTACAACATTGAAGCAAAACATTTAATTTAAAAGTATGTAATAATTACAATCATGTCATGAATCACCTATCCAAGCAAATTGTCTAAAACCAAATTCTAATCTCATAACATCTCAAAGCAGAGAAATTCTAATTTATGAGCTATAAATTCCCCCTGTAAGTTTTGGTGTCAAACTTTTCCATTTTATTCATAGTTTTCTTAAAGTTAGTGTAAATGATACTTAGAATAATAAAACTAGTTATTTAGATTTATTGGGGAATTTTGTTGTTGTTTTGGTGTGTGTAGGGGGTTGTTTTGTTGGGTTTTGTTGAAATGGTATCTCACTATGTAGGCAAGGCTGGCCTCAAACTCTGCATCCTCATGCTTCAACCTCCTAAATGCTGAGATTGCAGCCATGTGCCGCCACACTCGGTTTATTTGGGGATTTTAAGGTAGATTTTCACCTATTTTCCTTAAACATCCCTCGATGCACAATGAGAACTGTGGGGTTTTTGTTTTTTGTTGTTGCTGTTTCAGAGCTAAGGACCAAACTCACGGCCTTGCACTTGCTAGGCAAATGCTTTTCCACTGAGCTAAGTCTCCAACCCAGACAACTGTAGTTTCTGAATACCAGCTCAAGGGAGCCTTGCTCCACTATGGTAGTTTTCATGCCTGGGAAAGGACTAACTGGCCATATATTAAGACTTCGTTGTTAAACAGAATGAAAAGCTGTCAAGCTCCAGCTCTCTAAACTAGACCCAGAAGGTAAGCATTGGGGTAGCAGCAGCACCCTGAAAGGGCCAAGACAGGACTCAGAATGAACACTGAGTGGCAACAGGAAAACTCGGCTCTGTTTCCTGCTTCTCTGCTCACCGAGATAAGGCATGGCTCTAGGGAAGGTGTACCACAGCTAGGCTGTGACCCTGCAGGTCACTGGACTGTGACCCTTAATGAAATCTGTGAATGAAAGGAAGTGAAAATGAACTTAGTCAGAGTTTAAAAAAAATCCGAGGCTGTTTTAAAAGGAATTGGGGAAAGGATTTACTTTTACCTACATCTGAGGAAAGGATTTTCTTCTCTCAGCCCCACCTTTCCCCACTTGGTACTGGATCATCGAACCAGGACCTTGAGCATGCTAAGCAAGCACTCTAACACTCTAATGCTGTATATCCCTAGCAATGAGGGAAAGTATTTTTCAAGTGGGGTGGGGGAGGGTAGAATAGGGAAAAAATAATAAATTTTGGTTCACCTTCCCCCATCCCTTGGTTTTCATTTTCCTCTTTAACGATATTGGTAGTTTATCTACACTATGCCAGCTGTTTATTTGGAGGACCACACTGATAATAGCAACAAAATGCTGTTTTTAAATAATGAATACAGCTTTTTATAAAGTTAATCCTTTAAAGTGCCTTAGCCAGGAGATTGCAATTTTGTCCCCTTGTTACAGGATGAGAAAAGGTTGGACCCATCAATGTTCATAACACTCTAAGAGACAGAGAGGCATTAAAATTCAGAATTACCAGACCAAATTGAGTGGCCTGGCCCCAATGCCACCCGGCCTTCAGTATACACTTGAAATGCATGCAAAAACAGGTAAACTCAATCCATAACTAGGCATTACTCTAGTCAGACTCACTGAGAATAATATATTCAAAAGTTAACATTTGCACTGGGAAGATAGCTCAGTGGTAGAGTGCTTGCCTTGCATGCACGAGGCCCTGGGTTCGATTCCTCAGAACCACATAAGCAAAAAGAAAAAAGCCGGAAATGGCGTTGTGGGTCAAGTGTTAGAGCGCTAGAGCTGAATCGCTGAGGGACAGCGCCCAGGCCCAGAGTTCAGGCCTCATGACTGGACCCAAAAAAAAAAAAAAAGTTGGGGCTGGGAAGGTGGCTCAGTGGTAGAGCGCTTGCCTTGCATGCCTGAGGCCCTGGGTTCGATTTCTCAGCACCACATAAGCAAAAAGAAAAAAGCTGGAAGTGGCGCTGTGGCTCAAGCAGTTGAGCGCTAGCCTTGAGTTGAAGAGCTGAGGGACAGCGCCCAGGCCCAGAGTTCAGGCCCCACGACCGGACCCAAAAAAAAAAAAAAAAAAGTTAACATTTGACCTAGCATGGTAGCACCTGGCTATAATCCCAGCATTCAGAAAGCTGGGCAAGAGGATCAAGAGTTCAAGAACAACCTGGACTATACAGTGAGACCCTATCTTGAGGGGGGAAAAAGTCAAATTGTGCCACATAAAATGAATATAATAGCTAACATTTTTGAGTATTAAGTTCCTAGTTCTACTTTAAATTGTAAATAAATTCAATTAGGAATATAAAATTGGCACATGAAATTGTGAAATAAATTCAAACTTAAAAGTCTAAATTATTAACTTTCTAAATTAGCAATCTAAACATAAAGTACTTTGTTCTTTTTTAATTGTATATTAAGTACTTTAGTCTTAAAGAATCATATTAATGAATCTGAAGGTTTCCTCATTTAAAATATATGTTACCTTCTCAATCAACAGAGAGGCTATACTTCTTAGTCTACTCCATGTTACAATCCAGGCTGGACAGAATAACAGGAAGTGAGTTTATTGGAAGATGGAAATAAAAGATTTGCTATTTTTTTTTCTTTTTTTTGCCAGTCCTGGGGCTTGACCTCAGGGACTGGACACTGTCTCTGAGCTTCTTTTGCTCAAGGCTAGCACTCAGTCACTTGAGCTGCAGCATCACTTCCAGCTTTTTCTGTGTATGTCGTACTAAGGAATTGAACCCAGGGCTTCATGCATGCTAGGCAAACACTTTACCACTCACCATATTCCCAACCACTACTTTTTTTTAACCTTTTACTGTTGTTGTTTGGTTGTTGTTGTTGCTGCTGTTGCTGTTGTTTTTGCCAGTCCTGCGGCTTGAACTCAAGGCCTGGGCACTGTACCTGAGCTGCTTTTTGCTCAAGGCTAGCACTCTGCAATTTGAGCCATAATGCCACTTCCAGCTTATTCTATGTATGTGGTACTGAGGAATTGAATCCAGGGCTTCATGCATGCTAGGCAAGCACTCTACCATTAAGCAACATTCCCAGCCCAACCTTTTATCGTTTTGAGTTTTCTGTGTGCGTGTGTGCGTGCACACACACACGCGCGCGCACACACACGCACACGCACATGCACGCACATGCCCGTCCACCTGCCTGCGTGTGTGTTCATGCCAGTCCTGGGGCTTGAACCCTGAGCCTTTTCACTTGTGGCAAGCTCTCTATCACCTGAGCCACAGCTTCACTTCCAGCTTTTTGGTGGTTAGTTGGAGATGAGAGTCTCATAGACTTTCCTGCCCCAACTGCCTTCAGACTGCAATCCTCAGATTTCAGCCTTCTGAGTAGCTAGGATTATAGGCGTGAACCACCAGCACCCAGCAGTCTTTTACTTTTTTTTAATTCAGTTTGCTCCTTCTATGCTTGGTGTTAAGCCAAAATATTCCTCTTTTGTGGTCTGTGTGTCTGTCTGGTGATGCTGGAGTTGAAACCAGTTCTTTGTATGTGCTAGACATAAACCCCAACTCTGGCATCAGAAATTTCCCATGTGTGTTAAGAAATAGTAAATTTCAGTCTAGGCATTTCTGTAGCATATGAAGAGGATGCTAATAACCATGATTTAATTGTGAAGTAGTTAACTCTGTATTGTCAACCTCTGTATTACATTTTCCCACCAGTGAAATCTGGATCACATGTCTAGTTTTGACAATATCCTGGGTACATTCAATATATAGGGTACTGTCCATGATGTTACTCTTTAATATCCAACAGATATTTATTAGCATTTAGTTGCCATGACTAGGCCCTGTTCTTGCTTTAGACACAAAGGAAAATATGACCCATGTGAGCCTTACCTTGGACCTCAAAACAGACCTAATACCAGCAAAGAAAAGTATGATTGGTGCCATGAAGTAGACATCAAGAATCACTATCAAGGAACAAAAGAATAAACAGAAGCTAAGACAAGCTTATGGCTTTCCTGTGAACAAATAACTGGGGACCCAGGATACCTGGGTTATTCCCCAAAAGGCTTTGCTCTTAATTTTCAAAAGTTAAGAATTTATGGATAGATTCTCACCAGGATTTATCCAAAGGATTATTCATTGAAAGATATGGACAATATTAGCATAAATTTGTTTTTTTCTGCTAAATTAGCAGGAACATTTTCACTCAGTAATTCACAAAAATATTCTACATGATTTAACACTATGAGTTTTAGTCACCAAAAATGGCACTGTCTTGGATGCAGTTTAGAGGCCCTTTAAGACAAACCAGATGTGATAATGCATACCTATAGCCCTAGCATTCAGGGAACTGAGACAAGAGGATCTCAAGAAACAAGGGATCCTGAGCTACAAGCCTGTCTCACCAAACAAACAAACAAAAACCTGTAAGACAGCCAACAATTAGCCAGAGAATTCTCCACCACACTT